TTCATTAAACTACGCTTCCTACACATTACCCGCACCATCTTCATAATTATCGTTATCTTCATCACATCGCATGTTACAAATGTCGTTGTAGCGAGTGACAAAAATCACACTGTAGTTTCTAAACGTTCTTCTCCATTCGTGTTTTTTCATTAAACTACGCTTCCTACACATTACCCGCACCATCTTCATAATTATCGTTATCTTCATCACATCGCATGTTACCAACTTCGTTGTAGTGAGTGACAAAAATCATACTGTAGTTTCTAAACGTTCTTCATTCGCGTTTTTTCATTAAATTACGCGTCCTACACATTACCAGCACCATCTTCGTAATTATCGTTATCTTCATCACATTGTTCTGGTATACGAATTTCAAATACGTTACTTTCAAATATTGAATATCCTTCCATTTCCCATTTTGCTTACCTGCGGTTTGAACAGTTTGTACTTTCTTATCGCCATTGATACGAATTGAGAATCCTAATGAAGACAAGAAGGATAATATTGTAATTGTGATTAGAGTGTGGCTTTCCAAATAAAGTCATCAAACTCGCATCGACAGTGGTCGGATTTTTCCCATGAAACAATAATGCAATGCTTTCTCAAGGTTCCTTGATTTCTTAAAGTAACATATATCATACAGCACGTACCCACCTCTTACACAACCGTATAAATTCTTGATTATAATTCTCTCAACAACCAACTGTATAATATATAATACTTGTGGCTATTCATGTGAAGGCGATAACCGCTTGCTCGGTGGAATGGAACGTGTTGAGAAATGCCGCCTATTTTGCACCAACTGGCATACGACGATACGCCAAACAATTGGGGGTTTTCAATGCCTCTTTAATACACTGAAGAAGTACAAACGAACGGTCTCGAATTCTCACCGATGAATTATACAATACAATACGAACCTATTAAACCCGGCGAGAAGTTCAGTTGACAGTTATTTAAAACACACATATGTAAGACGTTGTCCAGGTCGGATCACTTCCCAACTCCATAACGGACAATACAATCAGCGAAATTGGGGAAAGTTATACTGAAGATAAGAAATTATGAAACCAGAGACTTTGGTTATTAATTTGGAAGATTATGTAGTCTTCTTCTTGTTCAATTGATGGGTGTATTGTCGATACCTTTATTGTCGTATATTTGAGTGTCAATTATGTTGATTATGAAATCGCTTGCAGTAGTATGAGAATATGCTTCACCTTGGGAACTGTGTTACCAAGTACTTGCAGCAGTGCGAGTTCTTTAACTCTATCCAGACGGTGTCTTTGTTTGATGCAGGAGTAAAATATTTAATTGAGGAAGCTTTCTAATCCTTTAACCGATTGTATCAAATAATGAGACAAAGTGATGATGGTGACATTTGATTGCTAATGTTCAAGAAACCAGTTCTGGTTATTAAAACTCCTCGTATTCCAATCGTTGGGGGGTGTCTTCCAATCGTTGGGGTGTCTTCCAATCGTTAGGGGGGTGTCTTCCTTCCACTATATCGCGTATACATGACCCATACTTTCATTTTAATACTAAAATCACATGAACAAGGCTTTTGTCATACAAACTCCACGGTCGAACGACGATCTACGCAGTAGATATTCTTGTTTTATCTATCACCACTTTTATCTCTTGTTATCACCATGGGGCGACATGCGACAGTGATTACTGATACTCGTGCGGTACAGACATTTGATGTCTTTCCTTTGTTACTGGATTTATATGGTAATCTATTATTATCTGTTGCGCCAAAAAGTAACAATAATGTCCTCAATGGAATGGCGCACTGTTCAATTCTAGTTACAATGTCAACAGCATTTTTTCAATGAGAAACAATACTAAATTTGTTTTGCACCTGAATATTGCATTTGCGGTTCTTGTACCTAGATAACATTTAAATACGCAAGACCCCCCCCGACAAGAATAATGAGTGGGTTGTACACGACATCTACATTACAAACGGATCATACTATCCTACATACAATACAGCAACGTACCACACCAACACCACACATACCACGTAACATATACGAAATGGTTATCTCGAGGCAAGAATTCGAAATGTATCAAAGAGCCGCTCAACAAGGACATGCCGGTGCCTTGTGTCGTTTAGGTGATTGTTATAAATCCGGAGATGGTGTACGAAAGGACGACCAGAAGGCAATGAGCCTCTATCAGAGAGCCGCCCAACAAGGACATGCCGGTGCCCTATGCCGCTTAGGCGATCATTATAAAACCGTAAACGGAGGCGACAAAAAAGCATTTAAATACTACCGAAGAGCCGCCAGACGGGGCCACCTTATTGCACTCCACAACCTCGCGATTTGCTATTACCATGGTGAAGGAATCGAGGAAGATGAACTAATGGCCTTTTTATTGCTTGACATTGCGGCCAGCAGTGGAATTGCCAGCGCCCAATTCTATCTTGCCGTGTTTTATTACAACGCTATCGGCGTACAACAGAACATTCCAAAGACAATTGAGCTATGTCACCTAGCAGCCGAGCAAGGTCATCCCGAGGCAATATATAGACTTGGTTCGTGTTACGAAATGGGGTATGGCCACCTAGATAGAGATTACGAAAAGGCATTTGAACTGTACCAGAAATCGGCTGACAGTGGAATAATCCACGCCCAATTGGATCTCGCGAGATGCTACGAACACGGCATCGGGGTGCCAATAGACCATGACAAGGCCTCTCAAATTTACCATAAAGTGGAAGAGCAAGGGTATCCTCAAGAAGAATACGCTGTTGAACTACGTTACCTAGACGGGCAGAAAGTAACACAACTGTATCGAATGGCTGCTCTACAAGATCTTGAAGCGCGGCGTCAGCGCAGTTCGTGAGAATTAACCAGCGGATGATGCGATCGAGTGTGCACGCACACACGCAATGATTAATGGTTTTTGGTATGTATACGATGAGCGTTTATAAGGTTATAACAACAACGAATAAGAGATATAAGGTTACAATAACAACGAATAAGAGATTCTGAGATTGCGGTGTGTGATTAATCAAATCTTACTTGTACACTCTATGAGAATACTATTAGTGCAGAAATAGTAAAGAGGGTTTATATCACTTTATTTTGATACGCGCGGTATTTTTGGAATTACAATAAAAAGACTTGTGGTTCGTTTCGTTATGGACAAGCGTCGTATGAGATACTTTGACATTTAATTTTGTGACGTTTCTCGTTTCTTGTTTCCTGTCACCTGCCTGCGAAGCGATTGGTACACGTGTCGACACCGCAGTAGTTTCAATATCATCGACAATCGTAAGGTGATAGATTTTAAACATTGTTCCCCATGTTGTATGTCTATTTCGTTCAGTCTACCCACCAATATCCACGTTGTCCCGATCATTGTCACACACACTCACGCCGCAATTGCGTTATCGTATACTGCCTGATATGTACATCGTCAATATTACCATGCAGACGATACAATCCTATCATACATATCATTAACGCTTATCTCTTGCACCTGACATCGCGCTGTGTGTAACATATCGGATGGTATTAATACCCATATCACGACGGCAAATAAAGAACTTTATATGATAAACTTTCTACTTTACTCGTCAGCACTCAACGGCATTCATACACAGACACGTCTTTTGTAAACGTTACAATAAACTTTTTTCTTTAGTCAAGTCACAAACATACTTGAAACGCGAACTTTATATCATAAACTCTACTTCTACTCGTCAGCACTCAATCGTTCATACGCAGACACGTCGTTCATAAACGCTACACAGTTTCAGTAAACTTTCCACTTGACTCGTCAGCACTAAGAATTCATATGCAGACACCTCACCTCGTTTATGGAATCGAAAAAAAGGTGGAAAGAGACCGTTCAAAAAAGTCAACGGTAAGAAACATCAGTTATCAAAATACCGGAAATATGAGAGCAGACTCACCAACATCATCAGGAACGGCTACCCCGACCACCACCAGCTCTATAGTCCGAAATAGCCTGTTGCCAATATGTCTCAAAACACTCACCAAAAAGACAAAACTGTAAAAACCTGCTATCGAGCGCGAGAATACGACCACAGTTAATGGTATCGGCATCGTCGGTTATTATTAGTTGCATTAATTTGGACAATATCTGGATTACCGGTATTGCAAGTTCAAAGCAACCACCGAACGGCATATAATTGCTATTTGATCAACTTTTACGCTCGCGCAATCTGTCTACAAACATAAGTTTCATAAACCACAGAACGACCGACTGCGCCAAGTAATTTGCAGCGACATCAATGGAGGGAGATATAAAGTCATGTGAAATATTATATGTCTTAACTTCATCTTTAATCCATCATTTCAATCAATAAATATATTCGTGTTACAATATCATGTTTGAGGGAGTTTGCTCTACTCGACGGGTTATCCAAGGTTAAGAAAGATATAAAGTCATGTGAAATATTATTATGTCTTAACTTCATCTTTAATCCATCATTACAATCAATAAATATATTTGTGTTACAATATCATGTTTGAGGGAGTTTGCTCTACTCGACGGGTTATCCGAGGTTAAGAAAGATTCATTAATATTAACGATTATGCATAATGTTAATTCAATACAGATTTTAAAGCACTCTAACAAAAGAGCTATCGTATTATAACGGCTATATTAAATATGTGACGTATTGTTTACAGCCCTCAGCAGTACCGCAGCAGTACCGCAGCAGCACTGCAGCAGTTAGTCTATTAAAAAAATTTCATTCACAATTCAGTACAAGTCCGTGTTTCTGAAAAGAAAAACATACGAGGCTGTGTAACATATATTTACCAATCTTCGATTGAATATTCGATCGCCATCGCTCTGCAAAATTCTATTTTCGTCTAGTAATTTCTTGTTCGTAGTAGCCATTTATTTATATCGGCGAGTAAAGATTTCCTTTCTGGGCATCATCACAATAAAATATTCCTTCGTTTCTGGATTTTGTGATGTGTAAAGTCAGTTGTTCTGCTCATTGAGTGTTTTGATAGCGATAGGTTAGCATGGGCATGGGAATAACAATTTACGAGAGAATCTAGAAGCCTGTTCTTTGCTTACATTATCCACTCAGTAACTAGGGAGGATGACGAGCGATGGACACTGTATTAAATGTCATGAAAGCACGGGGCAGCTTCTGTTCAATTATGCTTTCATTAACAGATTGCCTGTTGCTGCTCCCGATTCAACATATCTAAAGAGTTGGGTTTGAGAATGTTAATCATGCTTGAAGATTTTCACACGTTAAACACCCCATCAATCTTATCCATCGTATCACATACCCGTGGATGCTAACCAAAAAATAAAAGTAACCGATATAATGGCATATTAAAAGAATGGCCAAACCAGTGTAGGCGAGACGAGCGATTGTGCAAATATAAGTGTCTTGGTTGTTATTTTCTGATCATGAAATCTTGTTGCCATCGCTTTTATGAGGGGTTTTTTGTAAAACAGATTGTTGGTCTGATAGCGATCTGTTATGAACCCTTGTCGGATTTATACAAACAAAAGATGTTGGCATAATATTGGTCACGTTATGGTTTGCTTGCTTGTGTCATGTAGTTTATTTATGGGTATATTGCATCATATTGCGTCCATACAATACAGAGTGGCTGAGCAACTATTGTCCTGAAATAATCAACGCTTAAATTGGACAGACAAAGATATTTTGATCAACTCTTTTTGGATTTTTGCATAATCACATCTATCCTAATCAGGATACTTTGCATGATTTTTACATTCATAATCAGTGTATGTAGCTATTGTTTGTTGATAGCAAAGATACATTGAATTAATGGATATAGTAATAGTAAGCATATTAATATTTACAGTTTGTCGTATATCTCACAAACGTTATATAGTTATAACTCACATATCAAAATAATGTAATACGCACATTCAACATATGATATACTTTGAGAAGCAATTGGCAATATAGCGGAAGATCACCAGTTGTGTATTTTATTATCATACATATTATAAATTCATGTGATCAAAAGGATTGTATACGTACTGTATATTAGTATGCATCATAGTAATGCATGGGGTTAATAGATATAGATAATAGTCTGATAATAATAATAATGATAATAGAACACTGTCCCTAATACATCAAGTGATCGATTAACTTTTCATTCTCCGTTCTATTGCACGATAAGATACACGCACCGCCCCTTCTCATGTGAACACAAGGCTTGATATATTGAATTTTCTCGTGGTACAGATGACAGTACCCAAGATGCAACAGACAATACATTATTATTATTCAATTACATATATTGTGGAATTGTATGTAGCCACATTTCATACCATCTCTAACAATAACTTTTTGGATTATAATACGTATGATGATTACATATTATTTTAAGGATATACATCAACAATATCAAGATGCCTCCCTCATAATATTTATAATATACAGTATATTTAATATCGTCATCATGCATAGAAATAGACACCGTCTATTCGTCACCGATTAAATAAGCTATTGATTACGTTATTGACAGCTCAAACTTTGCCAAAAGTGTCAGTTCACTATCAACAAATCAGTTAAGATAGAAATTTATGCACACAGCTGAATGATTCGTTGTTTATATGTGTAACTCAATTCAAGATGAAGTCATTCTCAAGTGACATTTGAATTAAATGGTTCATGTACCTTATCATTATGATAAAATTAGATATTAATACTATTATCGGAGTTACAAGCAGGCGTTGAATCAAAATAAAGTTACCAGATAATGTAATATTGTTATCATAATGTAATATTGTTATCTATTACTATGATATGAGACGCCAACTGCGGTCTCTATAAAAAAATTCTATTTTTGGTATACTATCAGCTACGCGTTAACTAGACAAAGACTACATCGCTTTTCGGTAAATTTTTATTCATGATAAAATAAATATATGCTAAATAAATGTCGAGCCGGACAGACACAATTAAACTTGTACATAGCTAGTAGGGAAACAAAAACACCAATATACAAATCAGGCGCCAAACTTTAATTTACCCAACTACATCGTGGATTTACTTTACGGTTTAAAATCGACATTTATTAACAAAGAAAAATACTACTATGACTCTCATTGTGCATCAATTTGCTTATTTTACAGTTACAACTCATCGAAATGTTTTGACGTATTTTGACATACTAGCCATAAAATATGTAAGTAGAACTTTTATGCTACACGCATATCAAATAGCGAATTTGCGCAGTAAAGTAATTCGGAGTAACTAAAAAGCATTTTTTGACATTGTTGTCGTCGTTCTTCTTACCACACATCAAGAGTTTTGAGCACAAAAATATGCAAACGAGAAAACTGGAAACGGAAAGCTTAATGTTGTGATTTAGTATTAGAGGGCTAGGATAGCACAACCAGGAACTATAATAGTTCACAATCATATCAGGAAATAAATTATCAATAATGTTTCAGAGTATAAAGAACTACTCGTTTATTAGTATGAGACATTAATTGAACATTAAAAAAACATGATAATAAACCAAATGGATCAGTCATTGCAGATATAAGTTTAATTAATGTGTACCAGTCTCTAACTTGTCATTGTATTGAACTTAACTTCATGCTACCCTATTACTATAGCCAGCTGACGACCAATTTTGTTATTTCATGTGTTTTGTATTAAATTAAAATAAACACAATATAATTTATTTGCTTAGCTCTAAAATTCGGTGTATCTATGAATGCAAGCCCTCGGGACCAAGCATTTATGGGTATTTTCATTTATAGGACAGGATTCCTAAAAGTTGATATTACCACTACTACTAAATAAATTTATTACCATTAACCATCAACATGGTATTTAATTACTAACTAAGAATTGTGTTAAGCCCGTTTGTTTTATTGAATTTGCTCTTTTTTTTTCATAAATAAAATTCTATAAATTATCAACAAATCTTAAGTGGCTATTGGAATCCTCTTGTTGTGTTAACAAGGGTCTCACTTTTCCCAAGTTCTCTAACACCATATTAACGCTAATAATTAGTATTTTATTACTATCATTATCATGACGTTCTTCATCAACGTCTTCAAACAATTTAACATTGTTTGATAAATTTTTACATAATAGACCTCTTTATAATTATAATCACCAAGTCCGTCGCACATCAAAGTGGTGATTGTATAGAGGTGTGACTGTAATTATAAAGCCTCTATTACTATACAATCCATCACCATAATTAAAATAATGTGCAGTGATTATATAGAGAATTTTACGTTTGTATTATATATGGATAACAACTTAATAAAATACAGTAAAAATGTGAAACAATAATTAACAATAGAGTAGTAATAGTGATTATAAAATCCATTTATTGTTTATTAATTATTATTTCGTCGATTATTATTTAGAACAGTATAATTATGACAATAAAATTTTAACTAAAAAATTGGTTATTTGAACTTGCTTTTTAGTTTGCATTTTAAGTTTATGAACTGTTTTTTAAGATATCTTTTAAAAACGCGTACATCTTCGTTTTTAAATTCACCCATTTCTTGCTGTTCAAAGAAAGTCACTCAAGTTTGTAAAGACTTTATTGCATCATCTAAAGAAACTAATACTAGCTTATCTTCAGTTAGTATTTCTTCTTCTAGTCACAAAAATCATTCAAAGCATCTACCAAGGAAGCAACAAGAAGTTTGTCAGATGCCACACCTAAGTCTTCAATAAATTGATTAGTATCTGCCACTTCATTATCTAAAATATCTTGCTGAATTTGCGTCGCGCTGGCTGTATCATTGCCACTGGTAGTGGGTAATATCCCAGCTCTAACCCAACAATTAAAGATCGTATCACTGCTTACATTCTCCCATGCATCTGCCAGATAATCAACAGCTTCCTTGATATTTACCTTTTCTCAAAAAGTTTTAAAATGTGTCGGCAATAGTTTTGTTTATAATGGGCTTTAAAACTCTTGATAACTCCCGCATCAAGTGGCTGAAGATGACTCGTAGTATTAGGAAGTGGAAAAGCCACCTCAACATGAGTTAGATTAAGCTGAGTAACATCACTATTACCTTGTTGAGAATTGATGTGCGACGGCGCATTGTCAACCGAGAGCAGGATTTTTTTATTTTGTGCTCTAAAATGGTTGTCCAAATGCCGAAGTATTTCTTCAAAAATTGACGAATTCATCCACGCTTTGGGATTTACACGGAAAAGCCGTTGTAAATTAATTAGTAAAAAGGTCTCGGACGTTTCGCATTACCGACATAAGTTTATCAGTTCCTGTCGCGTTGACACCGTTATTCTAGTTTTATCTTTCTTCTGGCCAGGTTTGCTTGAAAGTGTTTGATTCGGTGGTGTTCGGTAAAAAAGACCTGTCTCGTCGATATTATAAATTTATCAAGGGTAAACCGGCCCAAAAGTCTACGCAATTTTGTTCGTTCTTCTGTAAGAGATTCCAATGGGGCACTTTCTGCATCTCTGTGTGCACGATATCTTTGAATATTGTTGCGTTTTTTAAATTTCTCAAGCCTGCCATTAGAAAACATCAGTTCACTTTCCTGTATGTTAAATGCTTGAGCAAAAACCCTAGCTTTTTCTTTAATTAACAAATCAGTTAAGGCGCCTCCCGCTGTTACATTTTCTACCCATAGACTCATGGATAATGGAAAATTAGCCTCTTTGTGCCTAGGTTTTTAGAAATTCATAAGATGTAATGAAGTTTCAAAGTGTTATTAAATAAAACTGCGTACTTAAATGTTTTAGTCGAAACTTTAGCACTAACTACGGCCTTCCACTTGTCTAATTTTAGACACAGTACTTCATAATAAGATAGCTTTAACCTCAAATCACAAGTAAATTCCTACGTTTTATTAATTTTATTCACAATAACAAGATACAGAAAACAGTATTATAGTATTAAGCACAACATGACACGGAATTTAAATTATATAAAAAAGGTAATTAATTACAATCTCTTAATTATACGTACATTATACAATTACCTCAAAAATACCCCAACAATTTTACGATGGGGGAAGTCACCGCTTACCACGCCCCAAGTTTCTGATTGGTACTTGGAGATACGCATGTGCATAAAAATCCAATACTTTGCAATTATTCACACACCCTTTCCTCAACACGTTATACCATAGAAGTTATGATTTCCATAAACTCTACACGTGTGTAAAGAAATTATTGGCGTAGACTTAAAATTCCCAATTTACGTAAACTTGTTTTTGTTTTGATCACAAAAACCTGCCTTTTATTTTTATTAAATGGCGTAATGTCTTTTAGAAGTCACTTTTTCAACACAATATTAACAAAATAACAAGGTTCCGATTTAAAAAACCAGCGAGAAACTATATTACATTTTTGGAACATAAGAGTCCGCTCAGCCAAAGATATTCGCAAAGCCACAAAGATTCCAATGCGGGCTATCTATAAAAATTGGCAGTATAGATCATTCCTATTGTTGCTGCGGTACATCGGTCAGGTCAGAATATACGCCACCGTAATTCCACAATTTAAATTCAATAGAAAATCTTTGGAATGTTGTTAAACGAAACGTCGAAAAGAGAATTAGCAAGATTTAAGTCGTTTTATGGCAGAGGCCATTCCAGATCCAGAAAACATGTTAATTAATTTAGTACAATCGATGAAGTACAGATATGAGTTGGTTATTGAAAGCAATGGAAAAAAATAGCATATTAAAATTTTGCTAACAAATATACGACATTTTAGCTATCAAACGAGGTATCAATCATGTTGATTGCTATGTATGGTCGTTGTTGCTCAGTGATCAAATCAATAATTTCTTTACACACTATATTACCGCTATATAACAGAAACTACTGCGTCAGATAACTTGTCATTTCTCGGTACGTAAAAAGCGTGTTATAGATACCACCACCACCAACTACATCTTATATAAATTCAACAACGCTGGCTTCTCAGCTTATATAATAGATGAATTGAATGACGGATCATCGAACGAACACTTATACCGTTGAAGATAAACCGCACAGCTCAAAAACGCGTCTCAGAATTGGTAATAAAAAGCTGCGATCAAAGAAAGTAAAAGTTCAACATATGCCATATTAACACCCGCTTATATTGTACTAATCTAATACTAGTTTAGTTGATTTGTTATTCCCTGTTCGTGAGTAATTTATGGTTATAATAATACTCTTATGACGAAATTGAAACAGTGTGTCGCAGCTCCAATTTGCATAACACATCTGAAAATTTGCCATTCATCATTCGCTGTTCACTTTACGTTTTGTGTTGCGACAATACTCAAAGTTTTTCAAACCGAACAAGATGATTCTCGTTAGCAAAGAATTAATACTCTTACGCATTAAATGGTGATGATTTGGACCCGCCTTGGATAGCAAATAGGCTGCCCGACTGTTCGCATGTACTCAACTTATGCACAACCGCTTCTTATTCTGTTGATTAGGCGCCGGGTCTGATGCATCCCGCAGGTTCTGCATCACGTTACACATGAGTACTAAACAACATCAGCTCAAGCGGATCATAATCAGAGAAGAAATATCTCGCCGGTCATTAGTCAAGCTCAACAAGCTTTCAACTATCATGTCTGTTCTGTCAAAAAACACGTACACGGAGCAGGTATTACATCTCAAGCCTAATATTACAAGGAGTTTTGCTTTTACTAACATTGGGCTTATCCAACTTCCTTCTTCAGACATGAGGAAGAAAAAACTGAGACTAGCACTAAAGGAAAGATAAAGTGTGTATTAAACACTGATTTAAACTGTTGATAATTGTTGATTTGCAATTGATATCATACTCACAAAAAATACATATTTGACATCTTTAAAAAACTCAAAACCAAAAGCAGGCCACATTTGATTTTTGGGTATTTCTGCATCTCTGGCAGAAATTTTTCATATACAAGGATGAACATTATTGCTGAGCAATAACTTACTGGTGAGAAGTACCTGTGGATGCACATGCAATCCAGTGATTTACAGAGACAAGCTCAGAGCATGACCTTAACTTCAGGAATGTCTCTGGTTTTCAGGTAATAGTAGTAATGTCTTTACCAATTACGGTTGATAGTATGGTGGTTGCCATCATTGTAATATAACATTCCAAGCTCAGAACAATATATTAATATTAATTGTTATGTAAATTTTATAGTTCTTTTCTGTTTATGGAGCAATAGCAAGGCTGAATTTTTGTGGTCCTTCTCAACAGGACCATCAATTAATGTTGGGATACAACTCACCAACCTCCCAGTCAAGGGAAATCACCTAGAATGCTGGCATGATGGGGAGATTGAACAAAGATGAAAGCAAGGCTTGTCTACCATCTGATAGTAAGATAGAAATGATAACTTAAACTTATCAACCCACTGCAGTGACTGATTGCCCAAAGGCCAGGGAAGTTTGCTGAAAATTTATGAATCTATCATGGGTAAATATTAGAAACATTAGTGACTCTACTTAGAATTGGCAAGTTACCCAATTAAAATGTGGTAAAGTTGAATGAGCTGCAAGATGAACATTTGGAGTAGTTTTTGTGGAATGGACCATAATTTTTTGTAACAAATTCAGGTTATGTTGTGGGGAGTAATCATAGTTGGTATAGTAATAGTTGAAATGGGCACAAAGATAACTAATACTAATAAAATTATTTGTAACTGTGGAATTATGTGTATCATTTAATGCTTGTTTTGATTTGATTCAAAAGAATTCCTAAGACAGTTGATTAAAATAATCTGTTATATATATATAGATTAAAATATCTTTTCACAAAATCTATGTCACAAAGTTTAACCCAATCATTATTATTCATACCCCAATTCCGAATGTCATCTTTACCTCTTACTCTGATATCACCTGAAGCATATATTTTCCATAATAATAAATAATGACATTGTAGAGTCATATTATCAGCAAAAGAGCATAAGGTTTTGCTTAAGAATTTCAGCTTCATCAGGCCTTGAAAATCAAGACAAAGAATACTTTCAACTTGTACAATAATAAGATTCCACTCACATGTCTTCAGGTCAGCCACAATATTCTGATATTGCCCTACTTTGAAATCGAATTTTTCCAATTCTTTTAGTCAATGACATTAATATTCGAAATCAGTAGTTTATACTTTTACTGTTACTATTTGGATTGACCACTACCCCAAAAACCCTCTAATATTTTCTTTTTATTACATAAAGGGCAGGGTACCGATCTATTAAAATCAAAGTAATTATTTTTAAAACTATGTTTCAGAGTTAAATAAGGAAATCGCTCTAATACCATTTTAATAACGTGTTGTTGCCTTTCTTCCGGGTCTTTAGGTAGAACAGAAATTGGAAATTGGCGTTTAGGGGATATAGGTAGAACATTCATCTGCGGTACCCTCACCTGAGTTTCCAACGAACTGTCCTGTAGGATATGATTATCAGCATTTTCGCTTTGTGGGGATTCGGAAGTTTCAGACTTTATCCAAGGATCGAGTCCAGTCTCTTCCATATATGCTTTATATAATCTAGAACGAATTTCATCTGTCTGAGAACTTGGTAAATCAACTAAATTAGCATGCCATTTGCAATAGTCATCAGTTAATATCTTGCTAGAGGTAGTATCAGAAGACATGTTATCGTTTTATATCAATGCAAGTCAATTCAAATCACGTAGCTGTCAAGAAAAAAAATATCACTATCCACTTGACCAGGTTTATGTAATTATTCATTTACGCAGTTATTTCAATTTCTTGTTAATAAAATAAGATCCGGCTTCATTTTTACCTCTTATACTTTTCTCATCCTTATGACTTAATTTACATGCTGGACATAACGACTTATCAATAGCTCCATAGCAATCAAATTTTTCACTGCTAAATTCTCTATATATATCAGGGTATCGACCTAATATTTTATTACGAAAATAATCACGATTATGAGCTGAATTAGATGATACACTTGTGTGAGCACTTCGTGCATTAGATAAAGCACTCACCTCTGCATTAGTCTGATCGTTCCCTGAGGGAACGGTTTTTAAAGTCACTTGATTTATAACACTTTGGATCTGGACATTAGTCAGTTTTGAAATCTCATTCGCGCTATAAGTGACTTGCTTAATTTTATCTATTCCAACCCCATCTTTTCCGAATAACATAAGAAGTTTTCTAGCTCTACGAGTTTTTTTGCGCAAGTTATCTTGTGTGATATTAGAAAGAAAAGGTTTCATTTCTTTGTAAATCATTGTTCTGGCCGTTTTATCTTTTATTTTACCATCGGCTGTAATATCACGAACCTTATTTTCGAATTGTCGTTTTCTTTAGTAGGTAAATGCAATTCTTGTATTAAACCTTGTTCAACGATTTGGTTTTTATCAATTTCATCGTCCTGTTCTAATTTAGACACTTCAGTTTGCAACGAAGGCGACTCTGTTAAAATCACATGACTTTGATCGTTCCCTGAGGGACGGTTTTTGTATTATGATTAACTTGGGGTCGTGACTCCATATCTCTGAATGTAATTTCATGAAATTGCAATAAGTCTTGGGCTTGTTTTCCAGCCGAGCGCTAAAGCTTTTTTTCTCTGTTTCTATCTCTTATCTCGTTACTAATCTTTTCTTTAACTTTCAAATCCACAAAATCATCGACCTCTTTATCTTCTGGCGATATGAACGAGGAGTTGGATGAACCAGTATTGGAAGAAATATCATTTTGTAACTGCTTCTGTTCCAATTTCGCGACTCTAGCCTTAAGCTCAGCATTTTCCTCTGCAGTCTGTTCCAATTTCGCGACTTTGGCTTTAAGCTCGGCATTTTCTTTGGCGGTCTGTTCTAACTCCACGATTCTGGCAATAAACCCTGCCTCCTTAGCCAAGAGTGAAGCGTTTTCGGCCACTAGCTTAGCATTTTCTTGTTTGAGTAAATCTAGTTCGGAAGACATGCTTGATATTATGTGCTTTATATATTTGCAGATTTATTTAAACTTGCGACGAAAAAATATCGCGTCGATTTATCCGGCTGTGCAACACGAACCGGCGAAAATAAAATCTACGCTAACCCACATTTGTCTTGTTGTTATGGTAAGCCATCCAGAAAATGCAACAATTATAAATGAGCAATAATAAAAATTTGTGAACGACCTTTTATCAAACAATGATATAGTTGATGAATTTATAGTTGTTACTATAGATAAGGTCACATTACATGCGTTTTACCATTAGTTGTTCTTCCCACCATGCTATATGTGATATCTTTATCCTAACTACTTATTTCTTGAACGCTTTACATTGTTTCTCAATGTCTGAGCTTGCGCTTGTAGTACCCGGACAATATGAGAAGCACATCTTTTGCACCTTGCGTATTGCCGAATGTTGCACTACCAAGCCCAGAATTGTATTCCGCAGTAATTTCAACTTTTTGAGATCCCAATGGACCAGTCACGCGGATGAAGCGCCAAAGGATTCCAGTAGTTACAATACCAAATATTACGGGAGAATTCTCGAAATCAGTTTCACCGAGTTTTCGTTTGCCTAGTCGCTGAATTTCCTGGACATTAGAAGACAATCTTTAGTATTATCCGTTAAGGAATGCCAAGTTAAAGATAAAATGAAGACATTAATTACCTCAACTGCACTGTAAATCTGTATCAGATTTTTGGCGACACCCTTCTCCATTTCTGACATTTTAGCTTCAGTCACTAAGGTCAAAAGGTATTGTATAAAGTTTCCATATCCACACTGCCATATCCACGGGTCCCATCAAGGTCAACTTCTACCGCTAATTGTGTCGTGTTGTCATTGTTTTTTCTGACATGACTAGTTGCCCATGTCATAAAGATGGAAATGAATTCACGAGCTGTGGCCTCGTTGGTGGTAACCGCTTGGAATGCAAACAACTTCTGTTTGAGTTGATTGATAAAGCTTTCCAAATCTTCACTAGTCAGGGGTGGAGACGATTCTGGAAGATCATCTATGGAGAATTTCGCCATCGTTTCACTAGACTTAAATGCATTATTGTAAAGTTTGGCGACCTCGCTCATTTTCCACTCCCCGTACGCCTTTTGGCCTTTTATTTGAACTTTGAGGTCGAGAATACGCTCGTTTTGATCGTTTGGCTTGGTATTATTCACAATAATGTTGAAATGAAATTCACTGTCAATTTTCTTTTTCAACTCGCCCTGAGTATATTCAAAACAGAGGTCGTTTCGTTGATATCTTCTCTAATCTGTCAAACTCTGCTTTTACGGCCTCTCGTAATAAACTCAGAGAACCACTAGAATGTGGAATTACACATTCGGCCGTGGTGCGGTAAAACCTGAGATTCACTTTAACTGTGGAGAAGACAAATGAGTAGGCAAGGAGATGAAAATGTAGGAAAAAACGTCGTTACTTACTACTCAAATTTGAGAGCGGGTATCGAGCAAGGATTTTGGTAGAGCTTTTTACATCTAGGGATTCAAGAGTGGTATCCGCCGGGATAAATTTTGTATCAGTTGGACTCGAGAATGCGAAAAGCTCGATATCGCGTTCTTGAATATCTTTAAGGATTTTGATCCTCTTGCGAAGAAGAGTCTTGAGGTTGTGTACGTTTGGATTATTATTTTGATAATCAGATTTTTCGACGACCTCTTCAAAATCTGGTTTTCCCTCAAGTTTCACCCACATTGTTATTACCAGGTTTGAGGAATTTTGGCGTTCTATATACTTTGGAGAAGTGCAATATAAAGCTTGAGGTGATTGTTTGAAATGACTAAGATAGACACGGTTCGC